TGTAATTATAATAAGTTAACAGGAAAGGTAGAATTTAGGAGGGACTCAGTAATTCGGGAAGAGAAGATTTTGATTAAGTGCAAATTAAAATGTTGATTTTATATTATAGCAGATGAAAGAGGAAATATAAATGGAAACAGGAGAGAAATGAGTGAAGCTATGGTTCAAGCTAGAGAAATTTTAATACATCCTAAGCAGAAGGTTTTATCTGTTATATTCACTTGGGCCAGTAGGTTTAGATGTGGACTTTTTAACTTGTCATCCTCTCCCTTTGCAATTGTAATTGTTATGTAGTCACATCTCTTAATTGCTGTTTATCTTTTTACTGCCAAAGCTGCTTCTGAAGTAGATTGTCTACTTTTATCAAGAACATCGTAATCTGGATAACTAGGGCTATGGCCTGAGGCCTGTTACTTTGTAACCAAATAAAACCCAAAGACTATGCATAGACACATTTATTTCTATAAAATTCTGTGATTTGCTTTCTCACCCATACACCTTCTTAATGTTCTTAGAATATGAATTCTGCCAGTCAGAATTCTGTTGCCAGTACAATTTTATTAAATATTAATTATCTCCTCTATTATGAAATCTTACAGTAGGTAAAACTAGCAAAGGGAGATGGTGACTTTTCCACTCTGCTGCCCCTTATGAGATACCATTTGATTTATGACTCTTTCCCCGAATTCTGGATTGGGCTTATTCCTGGCCCTTTTCTTATACTATCAGAACTACTTCTTCAACCTACTCCCACAGTAAGGTGGCTAAGTCACTTACTAAGCCAACCAGGGCATGTGTGATTTAGCGTTACATCTTCTAGTTCCAGGGCCTATATTTTTAAAAAATTTTATTGTATTTATTGTAGGCCCTTGAATTTAATGGGAGCCTCTTGCCTTGCAAATGATGTAACTAAGTGGACAGCCCCAGACAGAAGGTATTTTGCAAGAGAGAGCCCTTTCAGCTCCCTTCAGGTAACTCTAGGCAAGCAACTTCCTCCACCCCGTTTCTCGAAGGAATCCAATATGCCATAGTCCCATGGACAGAGTGAAAACTGTTTTCTGACTTTCTGTGAAATCAGTCTCTCATTCTTAACCCATAAATTGTGATGAAAACCACAATGGAAAGTAAAGCTGATAAAATTCAGAAATTTCTCTTCTGTTTCCTTATCCCTCTTTTAATCATGAGCCACTTGATGGTTTCTTATGATAAAAACAAACAAAAACTTGCTTGGGCTTGAAAACTGAATCTATTTGAGTGAGCAGTAGAAGGCAGAAGAGGCTATCTATTCTATTCTCCTTTTATACTCTGAGAATATAAAGGAAACATTATTCCTCAAAATAACTTCATAGCTGCATTGCAGTGAGCACTTAAAAACTATTCATTTTTGAGCTTTGGGATTTTAGACAAAGCGTTAGCCTCAAAACTTCTTTAAGTTGTTTCCCCATTTGCAAAAAATGCAGATAATAACATTTACCTCAGGAAATTAGGAAGTTAAGTGACATCAGCATGCTGAATATCTGGCATAGTGCCAAGAACGTAAGTAGAAACTCAATAAATATAATCTCTTTTCTGGATTCTTAATGAACTAACTCAAATGGTTGAGAAGATTAGGGCCAGTCTCATGGAAAATACAGTGTTTGAATGTGTCCTTCAAGATCAAGCATGAGTAGCATGGGGTAATATAGATGGAGGAACATGTTTAAGCAGTGTTTGAGTGTTAAATGCAGCAGATAGGTCCTCTTGGAATGACTAGAGCAAGTGTGTCCAACCACCAGTTGCCTTCTTATTTCTTTAATGGTATAATAACAAATATTAAAAATGAAGAACGTTTTGTTACACGTATACACTAACTATATTATATACTTTATATATGCCCCAAGGTAGTTCCCCCTTCACTCACTGTGGCCCAGGCAAGCCAAAAGGTTAGACATGCCTGGACTAGAGACCAGAAGCACGGAGAACTATTCAGTGTGTCTTGCTTAAATCTAGACACAGTATAGGGAAGGAGTGAATTTTGGGAACATCACAGACAAACCTCAGCAGAGTTATTGACTGACCAGTTTCAGGGATGACTGATTTGATGCTGTCTCAAGGATCCTGAACTTGGTGAAAGGATGGGAAGTGTGTGTGACCATACCGGGTGTGGTGCTGCATGCCTATAATCCTAGCACTCTGGGATGGCGAGGGAAGAAGATGCCTCAGGCCCATGATTTAGTGAGACCCTGTCTCAATATAAAAAATAAAAGGACTGGGTATGTAGACCAGTGCAGAGGCCCTAGGTTTGATTCCTCAGTACTACCCCCTCCCCACCAAAAAGGAGAGACAAAAACCAGGAGGAAGAACTTGGCATCATGAAAGGAGGTTTACTAGTTACAGTTGTGCTATCAGCCTAAGGAAAGGAAGGATTGGGGTTCAAATGTTAAACTCCACAGAAATACTCAGTAAAGATGGAAGAGGAGGAGGCTGAATTGGATCCCAGAAGAACGTCCAGAAAGGGGAAATAAGTCCACATCAGGCAGTACCAGGCTCCACAGGCCAAGAGAAGTATACCTGGCATAGTTGTAGAAGTGAGGACTAATGTCACTTGTAGCAAAGATCAAAGAGAGCCAAGAGCAAAGGAGGGGTGGCAGGCATTGAGTCAGTGGTGCCAAGAATTTTTTCTCTTTCTCTGCTCCCACATCCCCATCTCTTTCCATCTCCCTTATCATTAAATGTTGAAAGCAGAACCAGGGTATTGAAGGCCACCCCTGTACTTTCTCCTAATGTCCTCTGGTTGATTGACAAAAAGCCATAAACTCTGAGACTTCAGATATAGTCTCTTAATCCCTGCAATTTTCAATCCCCTTATTCCGAATTGGAGTCATACCAACATTTACCACTGCTTTTGGAAAAGTATTTAGTAGGGATACAATCTAAAAATGCTTTCAGGGGCTGGGGATTTAGCTCAGTGGCACTGTGCCTGCCTTCCAAATGCAAGATCCTGAGTTCCATCCCCGGTACCAAAAAAAAAAAAATACTTTCATTGAAAACTTGTACAAGTGAGAGAATGCCAGTAAATACCAAGCATGAAAGTCAGGTAGCTAAGTGGTTGCCAAAAGGTAATCTTTAAATCACTTGTTTTTTATCATTTGTGCATTTTAAAAAATATTTTGTAGGTTTAGTGATCTGTGTTAATATTGTTATAAATCCTCAGAATCACTACAGGGGATTGAAGTGCTTGTGAAGCATTATGCCTTTTGGATATAATTGTTATTTGAACCTTAAATTATCTTTAATGCTTACTTAGTGCATTTGGCTACATGGTTACACAGAGTGAAAATGGAGAAAATTAACCAAAGGAGAAAGGTTGCTATGACCATTAATTTCTCCAGACAAATATGTTTCAGCTGATTTCAATGCATAAAAGAAAAATCTACAATATTCAGAGTGGTTTAAAATATTCTATAGACACTTATATTTCCTAAGACTCAATTCTCCAAATCAATCCCAAGAAAAGTGTAGGTAAGCAAATGTAGAATTTTTTGAAGTTAATTTGTAAGGAATTAGAATTTTGTAATTTACCATGTATAAATGAGAAAACTTGAGTCTCATATACATGAAGTAGGTTATCTCTATCTCCTAAAGTTTTACTTTGCTTTTAGGAAAATTTTTTGAAATTTTTTCAAACTCCCCCCCCTCCCCACCCTTTTGGATGACAGGTATAGATAACAGTGCTCTTCCTCCAGGTCTATACTTTTAGAGGGTATAGGTTCAGTGTATATATTTAAAATATGCTATTACTTCATTTTCTGTAGCAGTGCACTAAATTTTAGTTCTACATGTTTTCCATCTCCTCCTACTTCTGAAACACATTAAGGAATTTGAATTTGAACATATTTCTCATACATACCCTCATAAAGTTAATGATTAATCCCTGGTTCATTGTTTTGTCTTCTCAGTTATCCACTTCTTACACCTGCACATCGCTTAGTATACTGTACAGTTATTAGTTAAAAATTGTGTTAATATCTCTATAAATAATGGTAAAAGCCTTTAGTTAAAAAAATATATACTATTCCTCCACCTTTCCATGATCACATTCTACAGCTACGTAGCACTATCTGTAGAACCAAAATGAATAGAATAATACAAGCAGTTTTCCCACCATTTAAAAAAAACCTATGAGGGTCATAGAACTTTAGTAATTCTTCACCCTTGTATTTGGCTTTGTATTTGACCACAGACATGGTGATACTAGAAGAAAATTTTTTTTTTCAATTCCTTTGCACTAACTTAAACATGTTCTTTGAGCGAGTTTGTGGTCTATTTTGGAGAATGACCCACGTGCAGCTGAAAAGAATGTGTATTCTAATTTTGTGGGGTGGAACACTCTGTAAACATCTGTTCAGTTCATTTGTTCAAGAGTTTGCTTGAGTTCTAGTATTTCGTTGCTTATTTTTGTCTAGCTTATCTATTTGTGACAGTGGGGTATTGAGGTCCCCCACTACTATTGCATTAGTGCTTATTTGATTTTTTTTCCATTAAGTTTATTGGTACATTTTAGGTATAAAATACAGTTACATTCGTCATTGGGATCTTGTACCGTTACATGATGTATCTTGGTTCTTATTTTTTCCCCATTCCCTGCCTTCCCTCCACCCCCTCCACCCTTCCCTATTTGCAAAGACTTTGTTTCCATTTTTTTCCTTTTCTCATATTTTAAGAAAATATTTTTTATAAAGCTTGTATTCATTGTTTGTGTCCCAAGATTATCAGGTAAGTGCCTGTTCTTCAAAGCAAAGCATCAAACTAATGCAAAGATTCAGAGGGAAGTTTGGCTGTGTCCTTTTTTTAGGTTAATTTTTTTTAGAATTCTCTTTGCCTGCCCCTTAGTAAAAAACATTTTGTACTTTAAAGTTTGCAGATGTTTGAAGTGTGTGTGTGTGTGTGTGTGTGTGTGTGTGTTCTTTGTATTTAGACATTAATAAGAGTTCCATATTGTTTTTCTTTTGCTTCTTTAGATATGGGAAAATAGTCTCCACAAAGGCAATTTTGGATAAGACAACAAACAAATGCAAAGGTATGTTTTTATGGCTTATTAGTTGCTAAATCATAGCCTTAAACAAATGCGAATGATGGAGTTTTAAACCTGATCTTAGGTTTCAAAATTACTCCCATTTTATTAAAAACCAAATCTTACATGTTATCCAGTTTCTGTCTTGCACAATATCAGCATATTGCTTACGTTTGTTTTGTCCCTAGTTGAGTTTTGGCTGCAAACCCGACAGCTACTAGCTGTTTGCCAGAAATCCAAATTTGGCACCAGTAGAGTTAACATGCACAATACTAGTTGGCATTTAGCCCCTGCTTTTAAAGGGGGAGTAGAGTTAGAAAATAGCTTTTCTTTCCTGAGCCTGAGGAGATTAGAGCTGCTTACTGAAGACCATTGGACTGTACTAAAGAACTGAAAAGATTACATATTGTGCAAATTGGCTCTATTAATTAGAATAGAGTAGTTTTAAGCAGTACTTAATTACGTGTTTCAATACTCCCAATTGTTCCCTGCTGAATGCCTGTTGACAATATTGGCAACAAGGAGGAGAGAACCATTTTCACTGACCAAATTTGTAATAGGGAGGGGAGGTCATGCGCCCCTTTGAAATATGCTGCTGCATTAACTTGATGCACTGACCTTCAGTTTTCCATGTAATTAGGATGAGTTCATCCAGCTTCGTGAGCTGGAAGAGGAGGTGTCTACAGTAGGCAGCACGATGCTCTGCAGTTCTGACTTTTAATGATCTAGCATCTTCACGATAGGCATGTGATTTCTAGGAAAAGGGAAGAATGGAGTCAGCTGACTTTGAATCTAACTATTGACCCCATGAATTGAAATAAAGTTGACAAGAATAGGCAGAGAGAGAAGGCAAATCTCCTCATTAATTAGACCCCAGTTTTTCAAGTACTGGCGTTGGGGTAGTGGCTTAACACAATTTGAAAAAGGCAACGAACATAAATGAACCCTATGGTAGGGCCTCTCCTTGTGAGCCAGCCATTTCCTTTAATCTAAACTTGAAGTGGTTCATTGTATTTCTGTCTCTTCTTCAAAGCACCCAGATTTAAAGGAGCTATTGTGGCAAATATCTAAGCCCATGTTTAATCAACATGGCACATTAAGGCAGTTTTGCCTTGGGACAGTGAATAGTGTGTGCTTTATGTAGAGTGGTATCTGATAAATATTTAAAATGAATTAAACTAGAGAGAGTCAAATTGTAGACTGAAATGCATACACTTAGTTGCCAAGATTCGTCTTATTTAACATTTATAAATGATTTGGGAGCAGAGACACAGAAAGAAAAGTCTTTTGGTTTTTTAAAGAAAAATAGACTCTTGCAGGCATAAAACAGAAAGCTGATCTTGAACACTAGTTTCAAACGAAGAGATGCATCACAGTAGATGAGTGGTTTTAGCCTTAGCTTTACCCTACTTCCCCTGCTTTTTTCCCCTACCTCAAGAGAAATCCTGCATAGCAGCTCAGTTTGCTAAAAAGCAGAGCTACCTTCATTAAGTGAGGTAGAGGACCAGAGTCCCCTAGTTGAATTCCACAGTCCTCTAATGAAAACCACTGTTTTACATTCTTCTCCAATGTAACATATTATCTAACTATACCATGTTTTATTATGACATACTCCTGTGTTTCCTAGTAGCAAAAGCAAAAATAGAAAACATAACTATTCCCATAATTCAATCATTACATTGTGAAGAGCAAGATTACTATAACTATTTCTGGTCCTATGACCTGCCAGGAATTCTCCTTGGAAACTTAGGGAGAGAATGCTGTCTTACTCAGTAAACTCTACCTTCAAAGACATCTTTGTACACACTTACATAGTTAAATCCATAGACTCTACATAATATATGTTTTATATGTTCTTACATTTATTTTAATATTACATGGACAATATGAAACAATTCAATGTTCTATCCTTACCTGTTACGCTGTCTTCAGCAAATGGTTATGAAATGTTATAGTATAGTAGGCTTCAGCAACGGCCAGAAAAGGACATAAACAATTAACTGAAATACAACAATTATGTATTTCTTTTAATAAGAAAATAACAGATAAAAGAATGCTCAGATTCCCAGAGTAGATCACAGCATCAAATACAATAACATAATTGAGATCTGCATACTGTAATTTATTAACAATAGCAAAGGTGGTGGGAAAAATGTAAATATCCATCAGTAGAGCTGTGTCACTTTCGTGTGAGCAGCTGTTCGTGTGTGTACTGTAGGAGAGGGGTGGAGTGTGTGTGCCTGTGTATCCATAGAGTATTACTTATTATCATTGACAGCAGCTTTCTAAATAGCACCCCAGACATGTTTAACCTGATTTCTAACCTGGCAGGTGAATAGCATTCTCTGCTTTGGTCTGGATCATCCCCCTCCTTTTTCTGTCCAACCTGGCAGTTTCTCTGCTGTCTAAATCAAATTAAGTCTTATTTCAGTCCAATTCCAACTCATGTAAGGAAGCTGCTTCTTTCTTCAGCTTTAACATTCATTTCTCCTAAAACATCTATTTCTGTAATCAGTAATCTACTTTATTTCATTACAACTTAGGCTGTTACCCGGCAATATTTTTAGTATTAATGCTGCAAAACTGACTGGACTATTTCAGAGACCTTGGGTTTGACTTTGTTGCTGTATATTTGTCTGTTTTGACACTACTGCCATATTAACAACGTTACTATTTCTTCATAATATCTGGAAATCAATAGGGCTGGCTCCTCTTCTGTACAACCTCCAAATGGTACTTTTCTTTTTCAAGACATACTTATTCATTTAAATTAATCTTATAATAATTGATTTCAGTTCAGAGAAAAACTTTGATATTTTGTGTTAGAGCCTATTCCTTTAAATAGTGCATTAAATACAGCAACCTTTTCTTTTTAAGTTGAGTTATCACAGTGAAAAATCTGTGCTTGTCTGTTTTACTATAATGATGCTTATGGAAACTGTTGACATTCATGGGGCTGTTTGCACTTACGCTGTGTAAATTCTGCTCTTGATATAGTTTTTCTCTTTTGTGACTTGTTATTAGTTTTCACTACTAGATGCCATCCATGTGCTTGCTTTGTAGCCCTGTCCTCACCTCAGGCCCCTTTGTCCTAATTTCCTGTTTTGATTTATTGTGACCTGGGAAAACAGATAAACAGCTCATTAAAAATGTTTGGGAAACTGTAAACCACAGCCTCTCTTAGGTGGTTGCTTTGTTATATTGCATTTTGTTTTCAGACTTTAGAGCATGAACTTTCCAAATAACTATTTTGGGGATTTGGAGGAATTTTCTTTCCTTTCTTCCTTATTTTGAAGGAATATGATGAGCTGCATTTTAGGTAAATGAGTACATTTGAGCAGGCACTACAATTTAGACTATTTTCTGTTTTAGACATGTAATGGTCATATGTTATTTTAATTTTGAAAAGTAAGCTTTAGTCTACTGAATGAACATATTTTTTGTTTCTGTCATTTGTCAGCTCAGTAGGATGGCTTCATCATTGTTACCATATCATCAAAAACACTATTTCTCTCTCTCTCTCAAATTATTTTCCATTCCCACTACCACCTTATTTTAATCCTTGGTTGGCAGCTTAGATGTCATTTTTTTCCTAGTAACTGCAGGACTCCTGAGAAGATCTTGAATAGGAAAAAGCTGTTCTCTCCCTCCACCCCACCCATCCCCACTTTGAAGGGATGCTTGTCCAACCAGGGACAGATGACAAGAAGACCCGAGAAAGCCACTGGATGGCAGCTGTGAACACCTGAGCTCTGTGGGGACATTTTTGTTTCTGTTGCCTGCAAGAGAAACCAAGTAAAGTCATTCTTTTAGCCTTTACATCATCATGAAGGAATGGTGTAAAACGAAGTGTATTTTGCTTTTCAGGTTATGGTTTTGTTGACTTCGACAGTCCTGCAGCTGCTCAGAAAGCTGTGTCAGCCCTGAAGGCTAGTGGGGTTCAAGCTCAGATGGCAAAGGTGAGTGGAGAGCCTTGCTTCTGGAGCCTGACGCGGTTGCTCTCCCAACCCTGGCTGCAGTTCCCACTCATTTCCACCAGCCACGGTTCCTTTGGACCTTGGTCCTGTGCCTCCAAAAATGCAGTAGTGTGACTGTGACAAAGACTTATTTATTCCTCAGAATTTGATGTGTGAAGAATTTAAAACTGTATACAATTTACATAGTAAATTTTGTAACCACATAAGCAAATGGAAAAATAGCATGAATTTTTTTTCTCAGATAATCAGGTATATGTAAGTCTTTAAGAACTGCACTGTGTTCTAAAATATAATTTTAAAAGTTCAGTGCTCAAGGAGTAAATCCATCTTAGACAAAGTTTAAAAGGTAAGTGTTCACAGCACATATCTTTTCTTTCTTAGTAGTGGGGATTAAATCTAAGGTCTCACACACGCTAGTGAAGGCCTCCACCACTGAGCTATACCCACCATGCTGCCTCTCTTCTTTTTAATTTTTAATTTGAGACTAGATCTCATTCAGTTGTCCAGGCTGACCTCAAACTCATAATCCTACTGATCCAGCCTCCCAAGTAGCTGGGGTTACAGGTATGCACCACCATGCCTGACTAGCATTGCATCTTTGGAAGGAATATATGACTGTCACATACACTGATTTACACAAACAAATGAGTAGTTTATACATGCTATTTTTCCCTATATAATAGAAATTTTTACACATTATTTATGGGATGCAAGTCTACTCTTTAGCAGTTTTACAAGGACTTTATTCAAGACTTATTTTTGATGAATTTTTGGCATTCCAAATAAGGAATATTTCTGAAAAATTCTCTAGGTAAGAAATATGCCTGACTGTTCAAGAATTATAAATGTACACATAAGTTTTATGCTTAATATGTGTTTTAGAACAGTACATATGGATATTCACTACTCTAAGACATAATATTTTCCTTAAACATTTTTGTCTTATGGTAGTTTCCCTCTAAGATGTTTATCTAATATCCAGAATATCATAATTTAGGAATGTGAATGAAGTTGGCCAGCCAGTCATTGTTTTTCTTTTTACTTCAGGTTTATTATCTAAGTTAGACAGTTTAAGATGCCCAGTCTTTTTCAAAAGTCATGATGCCTTAAATAGATTTGATGAACAGAGATAAGCTGGCCTTGCATGATCTAAATCCAGTGCAGTCATAATTCTAAATCTTAAAAAACTTAGATTATGTACTTCCAAGCCACTTCGAAATGGATGTAATCTTTTTAGGAAGAAGAACTGAGATTCAAAAAAGAGAGTAACCCTTGAATTGTCATACATCTATTAAGTGTTTATGTTCTGTAATAGATGTTCCATTGTATACTAAACAGATCTAGGAATGCATCAACTAAACTGCTACTTATGTTCCACCTTTATTGCCCAAATGTAAGCTGAGATTATATCCTAATATCTAGTACCTATAGTGCACTTATGAAGATATTTATATAACTGTGGAGATGTTTCCCCCATTTTTGGTTCTTCAATTGCTATGGGAAATATTTTCAAGCCTGAAACTTGGCAGTTGGCTATTTTGATTATTCTTTCCAAACGAGCGATAATTTTATATTATTTGGCTTCATAAAGTATAGAGGACAGTAATTTTATACTCTCCTCTGCTACTTGTAAATAGCAGTACACGATCATTTCCTACAGAGCATTCACATACAGATAAGAAAGTTTATGGAAAGTAAAGAACTCTACTGAAGAGATAAATTACCTACTAAGACCTAAATCTTACCAGCCCAGACATTACCTACTAAGGGCTATTGAAGAACATGTTTGAAGCTACCAAGGTAGAGATTTGCTTAGAATAAAAGAATCAACATAAGGATTTCAAGAATTAATAAATGAGATCACTTTTCTAATGTAATTCAGGCCCTACAATATTTTTGAAGCTTCACATTAAATTGGACTTACTTTGGATTTTCTTAAACTCCTACAGGTTAAGCAGAAACTAAATTGTAAACATTGTGTTTTTCAGATTATTTGTTCCTCATAATAGAGAAGTTTCCTGTGGTACTGCTGGAAAACAGTGAGATTTTAAGTAAATTTTTATATGTTCTGCATATTAAACATTGGCAGAATGTTTAATCTAGCTCTGTATACGGGGTGACCAGGCATTCTGTAAGCAGGACTCTTAGGACTCATTCAGAAAATCACTGTCTTCTGTCCTCCACTCTGTCCATCCTAATTCACTCTGCCAACCTCCTGCTTTCTCTTTGCATAAAATCTAGGGCAGGTTCTATGACTTCTTCAGACATTCTCATTATTTCAAAAGGTCCCTTCTTTCATTTCACAAATTTTTGGTTGGTTTTTAGGGTTTTTTGTTTGGTTTGGTTTGATTTTTTTACATAACTAATCTTCATGTAACATAGATATCTCTTCAGCCACTTATGTCTATATTTACATTATTCAACCTCAATATACTTTAAACAAGATGTCGTATGGAAAAAGCTTCAAGTTACAAATATATTTCAAATACAGTGTGTAGAATGTTGCAATCATGTGCAGAGTTTTTGGAAACTGCTGAGAGTCCACAGAAGGGATTGTGACTTGGACATTACCTGTGCATACTGTAGCAATTATTTACTGATGACTATATTGAGTGTTTGGTGAACATGACAGGAAGCAGTATATTTAAGTTTCCCAACATAATTTATTGTATGTATGTATTCACACACAGATATGTTATGAATGTATTTATTTACAGTTTAGGGATTTGTAGGAAAATAAATTCAGTTACACTTTAGAAGATTGGCTGGGGTTGTGACTGATGTGCAATAACATTATTTTTTCTCATTTAAATTAATGGGAAATATCTTATTAACATTTTGATGCTGAATATGCTTTTCAAGAATAAATTATTGATAATTTGGTGTACTTGTAATTTCAGTGTCTAATCCTATTTATTTAACAAAAATTATGAGTATTTATATAACAGTAAAGCTTATCGTTTCCTCTAGGTCAGGTTAGCAAGCTTATAGTGGAATGGGCATATGGTTTGTTTCTTTTTATTTCCAGAGTATATGTTCTTCCCACTCTTCCATCAGCTCCCTAGCTGTGGTTTCTAACCTCTCCATGGTTGGAGCAGTGCAAAGGGATAGGAAAATTTGTTGACCTGAGAATGATGTAATGGGATGTTGATTTATCTGGCCGGCCAGCAAGGTAATACTTTCTCTCATGAAATGCTTCAGACTTTTTTCTGAGCTTTCTCTCTAGTCCCCCAACTTCATTCTCTTCAGTCCCTTGAACCAAGAGAATACTTGTCCTTGGGCCCATACTCTCACTTCCTGATAATGGAATGGCCTATCTTCAGCCCATTCTGCTGAGATTTCCCTGTCTCTCCCAGGTAATCTTCCTCCTAGCATAATGAAGGGCCAACTCTTCCTGTGTGGCCTTTTTCAGATCTACCATTGCCAACCATCCCTAGGACAGTAGTTATTTCCCAACCACACTTCAACTAGCCTTTCTTCTTTTAGACCACTCAGCTTTTGAGGTAGACATGAACTATTGTATCCAGTAAGTCCCATGAGACATGGATCAACTTCCTGACTGGTTTGTGGGATCCCCTGTTGCTTGTCTGGTAATGAGAAGGGAGCAGCCAACATGCTGAGATTCAGAACGTGCTGCATTTCTCTCACTCTCATTCTCATTCTCAGACTCTACACTCATTCTCAGACTCTCTGGTCCCATTAAACACAGGAGGTAGGTGATCACCTAATCATCCCAAGCCAGTTTTCAGCCAGCTCTTGGTAGGCTGTCTGAGGTGGTCTGGTTTCCCACTCTGGAATGTGGGAGTACCTGGCACCCACTGTTTTGTGGCCTGTGCTGAAAAAGAAATAGGCCTTTTTTATTTTTGCTACCAGGGATAGAACTTGGGACCTTGCACTTTCAAGGCAGGCAGCGGCAGAACCACTGAGCTAAATCCCAGCCCTGAAAGAGGCCTTTTTCAATGTAGTGCCCTGAACCCTTACCCAGGCTTCATTTCCAGTACCTGTAATATTAAGCAGCATAGTACAGTAAGTATTTACTTTTGAAGAAGTTTTTGCAATGCATCTAATTAAAGTGAGACTGGGTATGCTTTGGCACTATATGACATGTCAGTGGTACTCTTTGAATGCCAGCTTCCCATGAGTTGATAATGAGCACTGTTCAGAGACCCCCTTAGTAGGCTTTATGCTGTAAATTGGCTAGGAGAAATGGTCCTTTCCTCTGTTATCTGTGGGGAGGACTGGTATCCAGGTTCAGAGATGCTGGCCATGTGCTAATGTTCTACAAGTACAGATCTCTTCAGGTCCCTGTACAATGACTTGTTTCTTGGATCTAATTTCTTTTTTATGATATCTTTAACATTACAAAATACATTTTAAATGCTAGTGGATCTCTTGTTGTCTAGCATAAAAATCATAGATTTAAATATCTGGACTGCTATCTGGATGAAGGAGCACCTAGTCCATATCTTTTGGGAAGACTATTTTTAAAGGAAGTTTAAGTGGTTGGGTAGTAAAGGACTCCTAATTGTCCACTTTCCACTAGGGAATTAATCTTATAATATGCTGAAAATCCCACATATTAAACTCTTGCTTTCTGAAGTTCAGAAAAAATTAAGGGGCATTCAGTTGAGGAGAGGTGGAAATATAATGTTGGACACTGGTTAGCTAGGTTGAGAAAGGATCCCACAGACATTCAAAGCTAAATTTCAGAACTGCTAGTGAAAAGCATTAAAGACCAGTAATTGTTCCTTATTCATGTTTTAGTTTTTATTGTCTTATTTGGTTGGTACCTGCCTTAAGGTGAGTAATGTGTTTGTTTCTCTGATAATCAAAGAAATCAGGCGAGAGAAAAACTTTCAGATAGATATTGAAAATTAAGAAAGGGACATTTTAAAGTTATGTTCACAGAGTATCCCAATGAAACTTATCAAATAGGAATGACCTTGGGCCTTTTGGAAAAGCCGATATATGTTCAATTTGGCAGATGTTTCAAATGTGTGCAATTTTAAAAGGCTCAGATTCTATAAAGAAAAAAGAAATGAAACTCAGATAACAAGATAAAAAATGTAAAATGTGAATCAACATTGATATCTGTTAACAGAGACTTTTATAGGTCTTTGGTACCTAAGGCATGCTGATGGTCAACAGATCATTAGATGTATTTGGCTGGTGGTATGCTTGTCCATTTTCCAATAAATAGGCAGTCAAACAAGCAGGAATTTAATCTCCCCTCCACTTAGAGGTCCACCATGCTCCAAGCAGTTTGTAGTCACATGCCCATGAGCGGCTATCTGCTGGTTGGTGAACCTATTCAGTACAAGAGAAAACAGATGTCTGCTCTTCCTGCCAAGTCCCTTTCTGCATTTTAGGAACCATTCCACATGCACAGGGAGGTTTTTGTTAATTTCTTTCAGATGATGACTTGAGTGCTTTCCACCATTTGGGACCTCTGAGCCCTGCTTTTCTACTCAAGTGAACATTAGTTAGCCGTTTGTCCCCTCTCACGGCCAATGTGGGATCTAGTTTTCCACTTGGTAGAGAAGCCCTTGAACTCTTTGTGCCTAGGGACATAAAGAGGCCTGATGGTCCCGGTTTTGTTTGGGCCACCTGTAATTAATGGAATAACTTTTTTCCAGACATAGCAACTTCTTATTCAGACATAATAAAGCAGAGTTATCATTGTCACTGGTTTTAAAGGAACTAAATTATCTTCATTGAAAACAATACCAGTGACTTCCAGGATTATATGTCCCATTCCCTACAAATGTATAATACTGAGAATGCATGGACACTTTGAGGATTAGATATTTCTGTGGCTAGTGCTACCAGTTTAGCGTTTCTTCCCATTCCTTTGTTTTGTTTTGTTTTTGTTTTGTTTTTAACATTAAAGTTGTTACAACATTGTGAACATTGTATGCAGTACAGGTTGAGCAATTCGAAAAAAATAACATTACCTCCAATGGTCAACCCAAATAAGGAAACCTGACAGGACTGTTGCTATCAAAAGCAAATGTGAAAAAAAAGGAAATGTTTACATATATTAGTCCACTATATTAAAAATGATTCAAGACCTCAATTTCTAGATTATGATTTTTAGCAGTTTTAAAAATTTTTGTCTTCATTGGTAAACTTTCACACTGAATCGAAACCTTGTAGAATGTGTAATTTTTAAAAAATATTTTAGCAATAGAAGCAGCTAAAACATAGGTGTAGGAAGTACCTAGTATACCTACATTGTTACCTGCTTTTAAAAAATAATTTATATATAACAATTTTTCCTATGAGCACTCCTAAATATTAGTCATTGAGGTCTTCATAATTGTGATTTTAAAAGAAAAACCATAATATTGTAATATACATTTCTTATGTAATATTTTTCATGTCATATCTTTGCCCAGTTAGTATTTTAATAACTTTTAATTAAGGAGTTTCCCAGGTTTATTCTGAATCTGACTAAGCATGATTCAGAAATACTTCTAAGATAGACTTGATTGTGTTACTCCCCTGCTACTGTGCCTCCAAAACCTTCCTACTTCTCAGGGTGTGGCTTTCAGACTGCAGTCCTCCTTCCTCCTACTCCTCACTCATCTCTCAAGGGATGTGAAAATCTCAAGACCTGATTTATCTTCCTGAAGTATCAGTGTTGCTTGATGGTATTAGGTCAGAAACATTGTTTCTCTATTTAAAACAAACTTCAATTGTTAAAGAATGGATTACAAAGTTTACATGACCTACCCACCCCTTTTTTCCTTTTCTTCTATTAGTTTTGTTTTGTTTTGTTTGTTTGGAGGGGGTGGGCTGTTGCGCAAGACTTCCAGTAAACTTTGCAGTTCAGTTCAGGCAAGGCCTTTGCCTGCAGACTTTTCTGGACACTTAGTCATTCTCCGTGTTATTAGCACTTGATCATTGAGAAAGTCTAAGCAGCCCTGACTAAAAAAACCAAACTCCTTAAACAGCTTTTCAGGCTGGTTTCAGCTTCTTGACCTCTGCTTGTTCCCTAAGTCCCATGTGCTCTGAACAAAGTATTCCCTCATCTCCCTACAACAGTCATCCTCTCTCCGTTCTCCCATTGTGATTTGCACAGCCCAGCCTTCATAATATGTGTTTCTGTCTGTGCTGTTTAATAGCACAGACAGTAACAGTAAGTGGCTAGACGTAACAGTAAGTGCCTGGAAGTCAGGACTCAGATCATAGTTGTTTTATAGCAACAGGTTGGGATGCACAAGATATACTGGAAATGTCCTTGAGTTGAATGAGGCCCCAGGTCCCCTCAGGGATGTCTTTAGGGAGAAAGAACCCTGTTTGTATTGGCTGGTGCAGGACCAGATTTCCATAGTAAAAAAATATCCTCGTGCACTTTGAGGAAAGCTTTGGAGACTTGGAGTTAGGGCCAGATGAGACAGCTAATCTTACAACCATGCAGTCAGCTGGGTGAAGCTGGCCAAGGAGCAAGTGAAGTGAAAGTAAGGGGATAAAAGACTCCCTCTTAATTCACCTCAGAAGAATTTGAAAACTTTCAGACCTAAAGTGCGTGTCTCTCTATTTAGAAACACTGTATTATTGTCCTATAACTATTAAACAAATCAATTGCTAATTTTCAGATATTAAAGGTATATTTTACGTAGTTAACAATAAAAGGTTTTGCTAGACATAAGGTAATCAGTGGTACCACACTGAACTTAATCTAATTTCAGCTAAAAGCAAAGATGGTTGTCATTTTGTTTAGCCTATGAATGGTTAGTATTCGGTATTTAGCTTACTATTGAGCATTAGAAAAATTCAGTTTTTTCTCGGACCATCCAGTGACACCCTGAGGGTCTGGAGCAGCCTGTGCCCTATGCTTTGGTGACAGATCTGGTTACACACTGCCTTCCTCTGTGGCGGGGCCAGGAAGTTGTAGGGACAGTACTTATCGCTCACAGTTCTTGGCCTTTGATAACTTTGACTCTTGGAAATAGCAGGGCATTCACCATTCCCTATGCCAGATTGTTGTTTACTTATTTTTGTACTTATTGTGGTGCTGGGAGTCAAATCCAGGGCCTCAGACATGCTAGGGAAGAGATCAACCACTGAGCTACATTCCCCCAGCCAGACACAGATTATTGCTTAAATCTGTCTTACCAGGTAGCCACAGTACAGCGAGTCAGTGTTCCCTTTTATTTGCAGATTATATAAAAGAAAAATTTTCATTTAGGTTTAATTAATACTAGGATACATTGGAAAGACTTAAACAGAGTTCAGACATGCATAATGTGTCATATATGTTTAAAGCACCATGTATTTCAGAAATCTGGAAAGTTATAATGACTGTGCTATTCTGTTGCTGAAGGGTAAGCCATCAGTTAATGACTTTACAAACAGTGCTTGCTGAAGAAAAATCAGAAGCTCTCGTGTGCTTCAATATGTAACAATACACTTGGTTAATGAGATCAAAAGAAAGGCTGATTTTGAAGTATGTCAGTGCTAATCTTAAAATGGCAGAGGTGAACTTTGACTTGATCAGATTATTTCAGTTGTTAGGCAAGCTTTTCCTTGATGATTTGAATACTGTACTTTTCATAAATGCATATAACAGTTACTAGTTCTTGGAAACTTGAATCATATATCATTCGTTCTGGCTGACTCTCCCCCAGGAGAGGAAGGTTGGATGGGAAATGATCTAAGGATTGCTTCTCAAACTTTTACATCCACAAGTCACCTAGACATCTTACTAAAATGTAACTTCTGATTCTGTAGGTCTGAGGTATGGCCTGAGATACTACATTTCTAATAAGCTGCTATGTTAATTCCAGTACTACTGGCCCCTGGCTCACTCTTAGTGTAGCAAGGATTTTGCAAACTTGCCCTCCCAATATACTCTCAAGTTCAGCTTTTCCAGCATTCTAAAATTTGCTCTGCCTGGAGTTCATCATTTTATATGGCTGAGTTTCTTGATTGGGTTGTTAGCAGTGCCCCTTTTTCTATTGATGATCAGTACTCAAAAGTAATATGGACTCTGCCATAGAGCAGAGGAGGGCATTTTGCACAAAGCTGGTACTGGACTTCACATGACTTGATCCAGAATCCTTCATGTATCTCTCTAAACTGAATTATTAGGAGTAATAGCCTCCTGTGCAATAGTGTGCCTGAAATGGGCTCCTAAAAATAGCAGTGGAGGAGAGGTTGCTTATTTTGGGAAACATTGCGAACTACTGAGAGTTATGGTTTCATGAAGGCATCCTCTCCAACTCAGGGGTGCCTGCCAGCATTGCCGCTTCCACGTCTCCTGGGAGGGGCTCTGGAGGATCATGTCTGCCTGTGCAGACTGTCCAGGCTTCAGACACTGTCATCGAGTGTCCAGCATGACTTGGGTGTTCTGCAGATCCCAAGGTCTCACTAGCTAGTACTGTTAAAGGACTCGAACAAGAAGCGTGTCTACATAAAAGTTGGTATGTTAATATAAATATTGTTACTTCTTTTGGAAATTGATAAGACAATTTTCTGTTCTGCTTTAGCAACAGGAACAAGATCCTACCAACTTGTATATTTCTAATTTGCCACTGTCCATGGATGAGCAGGAACTTGAAAATATGCTGAAACCCTTTGGACAGGTTATTTCTACAAGAATACTACGTGATTCCAGTGGTACAAGTCGTGGTGTTGGCTTTGCCAGGTAAGCACACTGCTCTATCTATTATATCAATGACAATAATTCTACTATCTTGGAAAATAAAAATTGACCAACAAGAGAAAATTAAAACAGGGTTGTGGGATCCAGTTGCATCATGAACTTAAATCATGTGAAGTTTACATGTAAAATTTTCCAAATCTTTTGTATGTTCATTAGGAGTCCTGAACCTGAGCACACTTAATTTTGGTTGACTCATACAAAGAACCTATCATATGAGAAATAGCTCTAAAAGTATGTGTCCTTATATTTGATTAGTTAGAATATCTCTAACTTCTTAAAAAAAAAATGATGATTGGTTTCCTAAATTTCTTAGATAAATCAGAACATTTTTTCTCATGAAATAGAAATTTGAATTATCATCAATAAAGTGAATTAGTTATGTTTTTAAATTAATATTTCAAACATTTGAAAAAGTAAGACAAAGATACCACACGTAATCACTACATAAATTTAACAACTATTAATATTTTACTATTCTTGCTTCAGTTTTTTTTAAACAAATAAATGTTCTAATTAATTTTTATGCCTTCCTCCCCAGAAAAGATACTTCAGTGTATTAGCTAATTTGGTTTCTAAAGAAAAAATGTTAAATAAAAGAGTTTTAATTTGGGGCACAGTTCTAATCCTAAAGTTCATCTACAAAGCTGATTTTACATAATGCATGATTTAAGAGTGTATTAATACTGTAGTAAAAGATAGTGTCTGCATATTTTAAATTATCAACTTTTGTTTTTAGAGGAAAACAGGGTGACATTTTACTTTCATATATATATGACAATCACACCTTACACAGACCTGTGATATCAACAAAGCATTATTACATGTTAGTATTGTAATTGAGGCAAACAAGGGTCTTTTCCATTATCACCTTGATGCCAAGTCAAGGCAAGGGCTCCTACTTGGTTCTTCTGGCTTTTAGTCTACTGCTCTGATAGGTTAGACAGTTTCATAATAAAACTAAAAATAACCTATCAGTACTAGTCACAAAGGCCAGCATCTCCATCATGTACTTTATTGGTTAAAAGAATCCAGAAGACTCTGAATGGGTCTGACATCTCATCACTTCTGTGGCTGTCCTGAAGGCAGATCAAGTGTGCAATTTCTGTACCCAAAGACAAAACCCATTAAGATATAGGTGTGACTCTGTGGGTCATCCAACAGTATAGTACATTTTGAGTAATTACTTAGTGTTTTTTCCATTAAGGAAAACTAAATCCAAGTAATCTAAATCCTCAGAGCTGTTTCTCAAATATTTTTGGCCACCAGCAGATATAAAATAAGTTGTAAAACTAAGTTCCAGCCTTTAATTTCTCTTTCAAAGTCAAGATGACAAAAAAGGTACATAATTGACTTCACAAATTTAATTTTAAATCTGACATGAATGTAAGGTACGTCCTGTGATTTTTACTAGCTTTTGCCATAACTCTTAAGTCTGTCATTTTGTAAATTCATAAAAAGAAAGACTATCTTTAAAATGACCAATATTTTAGCAAGTAGGAAATGCACTCATATATTAAACTGTTGTTTTTAACTCAGTACCACGACTAAGAAAGCAATTATGTATTGATTTCAATTTTCCAACAATTAGACTAAAATTGTGCTTATATGCTTAGTATTAAACACTCTGGATATAATTTGTTCCTTTATGAATGTACTCTAGGACCAGTTATTTTACTGTAGGAATTACAGAAGAACAGTTAAATAAAATAATAAACTCTGGTTTTCTTTATCATATTCACATTTTTGCTAAGTCTCTTGGTATCCAAAAAGTCTAAAAGAATATTTTTGCATGCACAGAACAAAATTAAGTGAGAGACCTGTAAATATTCATAATTTTTTTCTTACTAATAGAATGGAATCAACAGAAAAATGTGAAGCTGTAATTGGTCATTTTAATGGGAAATTCATTAAGACGCCACCAGGAGTTTCTGGTATGTTGTTTGTTGTCTAAAATTTTATCAGCAGTCTTTTATGTAATGTTTGTATACCTTTAGCGCATGATGGCTCTTATATTGAGAACAAAAGTCTCATTTTCCTCCTTAAAATGTATTCCTTCATTTAAATTTTACCCTTTTCTGAGCACTGGATTTGTGAGTATTAACCACAGTAGACCCAGTGCTAAAGCGCATCTGCTTTCCCTGTGGTGTGTAGCAGCTTTAACCTACCTCATTGCCATCCTCAGGAAGCTTCCCATCATTGGGCATGTCCATTGAGCAGCATGGTGTCTTTCCATTCCAGCAGTGCCTGGACCTCAGCTCCTGTGACCTTTGTGTCCACTCCACATTTGTCACCTTCCCCCATTGTTCTATCTGTGTTGTCATTATCAAGAACACCACACCTCAGGAGCTTTTTCACGCCAAGGTCACATTCACTTGCCCAGGAAACCTGACCTGAAATAGAATTCCTTCCATTTTCACTGTTTATTGGGCCTTCTTTGCCAATTTCCCATCTCTACAAAATGTGGTCCCCATTTTTGAGCACTAAAACCATTTCTTTAGTGACAGCTACAGTTTTCTTAACACGAAAAACTGGATTGATCCTGCAGCAGTCTGCTTTCACTGCTCCTGTGACACCTGGTAGCTGAAGGTTGACACTATGGCTGATTCTGTGTCTTCAGCTTGCCAGGCCCTCGGCACAATGGGTCCTTACTCTGCCCTTCCCTGTTCCCTTCGCAGCTCTAATTTTCCTTGTCACCAGCCTGTGTGGACCCTTAGCTAGCTCTGAGCTGTTGACTCCACTTCCCATGTGGTGAACAGAATTGAGATCGCCAGGTAGAAACACTGTCACTCTGCATCCCCTCAGCAAAGGGCCCCACACCTACACTCACCCTTCCCCTCTCCTTCCTTGAAGCCTCAAGGACAAGGATGCAAAACCATCTTTTGCTCTGCCTGCTAGTACCTCCCTCTTATATAATTTCAATCTCTTTCTTTTGCTTGAATTCATTTTTTTCCAACAAAATGAAAACATTTCAATGAGTAAAACAGCAGATCTCTGGCAAGCTTAAATGTTGAGAAAATGTACAAACAATACTAAGAAAAAAAATGTGACTATAACTACAATAGACATTTTTGAAACCGTAGAATTCAATGAATATATGAGTTGCATTATGCCCAAAATTTTTAGAGAAAGAGCCCCATTTGTGTTTAAATTCATTCAAGTCTTTATGATCGAAATTAGTTCTTCTCTCACTCCTTCTCATGTAAACATTTTCAAATTAGTCTTCACTTCCTTATTTCCTACTCACACCTCAGCTCTCTCCAACCTGATACTTTCCCTAGGCCATGCAGTTGACATTTGGTAAACTTACTATATCTGTTTGCTAGGGCAACTGTAACAAAACAGCACAAACTGAGTTGTTTAAACAACAAAAATGTAGCAGCTCAGATTTTGGAGGCCTCAAGTCCAAGATCCAGGTGTAGTGAAGTTGGTTCCCTCCAAGGGCGTGAGGGAATGGCATGTTCAGGCCTCTACCTGGCTTGGCAGTGGTGTCCTCCTGTGTCCCTTCTCCTCATCTTCCCTCTATGTGTGACTGCCTCTGGGTCCACGTTTCCCCTTCTTATGAGGACACCAGTCTGCTGGATGAAGACCCACCGTAATGGTCTCGATTTAACTTTGAAGACCCTGTCTCTAAACAAGGTCGCATCCTGAGTTACTAGAGGGTTAGAACTCTCACATACCTTTTATTTTGGAGGTATAGAGTGAACAACACAATTGAGCCCATAACACTTACCTTCTTATTATTGAACCTAGAGACTTTTTCTGTGCTGTATCTGACTTAGAACTGCTTGTCTTTCACTCATCTTTGAATTGTGTCCACTTACCCCCATTTCTATTTCTTTTATTCCTTCTCTTTTGTGGACTAGTTTCTTTGATCTACTCTTAATTTTTTGGTATTTTCCTGAATTCCATTTTTGGCTCACAGTTTTAATAGACTTCATCTGTTCTCAAGGCTTCCACTACTACTTCAGATTGCTCTGAGATATTCATCTCTTGCCTTAGCTTTTCCCCTGACTGTCAGGCTGCCTAGCCTCAGACACCCTATGTTCATCCTCTCCAAAACTAAATTAGTCCCCCCTCCCATCTGACCCTGTCCTCTTCATCTTATTAGTCAAACCAATATCCACCCGGGACCCTGCACCAGAAAGCTGGGACTGGACTCCCCCAAGTCACCTCTATCTTTCATCTCTCACATACAAATAACCATTTAAGTCTTTACACTTTTCTTCATAATCACTTCTAGACCCTCCTCTTTGCCACCATTCCTCTTAACACTTCCTAGTTTCCTCTTATCACCCACCTAGCCCAAGATAATAGCCTCCTGGTTGCCTGCTCCGTCTAATCTTAAGTCCCTCAGGTAGCTCCTGATTGTAGAAAAAGATTGACATAAAATATACATCTCTTCATCACTTTTCTGCTAACAATCACCTTTCTACCTCCAGACAGAAAGATCTAGGATTCCTAGCATGACGATGAAGGCCAAAAGTGACTGGAGTCTTGCTTCCTTCAATTCTGTCTCTCTCTGTTGTCTGCCTTCTTATTTTTCCTTTTCCAGTACTGAACAACAAGTGGTATTCTTAATGCACCACACTGCATCATTTCTCTTTGCTTTCTCTCTGTGGTTTCCAATGGCTTGAATCTATTTGGTTCTCTTTAACCTGGCAGTCTCTGCCTCACCATACAAGACTGTGTTCAAGGCATGTGTTTTCCTTTCAGGGACCTCCTCTGACCCAGTTTGGTTATGCTGTGTCTGCAGAGCACCCTGAGGGTACCTACCTGGTATCACAGCACTTACTGTGTTTACATGCATCAATCCCGCTAAACTGGAAGCTCCTAGAAGTCAGAATCTTTTAAATGCATGTCCAACACAGTGCTTGAACTATACTAAGTAAAAACCAATGTTTGTTAGCTTTGGATAAATTTTACTACATTATATTACCCAGGAAGGACTATCTCCTAACAAGCTCACATATGGGGAAAAAAATTGAAATACTTTCTGATTTGCAGCCAGCCCCTAGCATGCTGCCTGCCAGCAGGAAGAAAGTCTCAAAATTTAGAAACCACCTCACCTTGCTTTAAAAGAGAGATTCTGAGATTGTGAAATGGGAAAAAAAGAGAAAAAGCCACATCCACTCCTTTATCTTTTCTCCCATATAATTTTAGTCTTATGTTACCTGATATAGAACGTCCCAGTTTTAATTCCCAGTCCATATCTAAATCAGCAAGTCTTTACCAAACCTTAGATGTTTCATCTAATGGCCCCACTTTTCTACTTGTACCTGTGCATACCCTAGGGTTAAATTTGGGGTCTCACAGTTGGATAGAGATCTGGAGAGGGGGTCTTTTACTGTGCTATCCTAGCCACTTGCATGTGGAGTATTTCAGTGCATCAGCCACATCAACAGGATTTACCCAAATAGTCATGCGGGGGAGCAGGCATTTGTGCTTACCTCTGAAGTTGGCAACTGCAGGGGAACCCAGGAAAATAAGAAAAGGTCTCCCCATCAGACAAATATAGCCCCCCTCTCTGGTAGTGTGTTCAGCTACCTTCCCAATTTGTATATGCAAAGATATGTAACACTGAAGTAAAGGGATCCAGTGAGTTGAACTTAAGTAACATAAAATATTGGTCAAGGCCCACCTATAGAAAGCAAGCACAGAGGCTGTACAGAACATGCATCCTGATTTCTTAAACCAGACGCCGCAAGCGAGCACTGAGGTATTTTGAAGTTAGATTAATTCCAGGAGTCACTGAAGTGAGAGTTGCTCCAAGGTTGTGCGCGTGTGACTGGTGTTCAGTATTTATCCTCCTGTAGCTTCAGGGTTTCATCCTGAACTGGATGACTGATGATGACGATTAGAGATCACTTTAATTTTCTGTATCCAGTTGAGTTTCATTTCATAGATGGACTAATTTGTAAGTCTGTGCAATACCACAGGCAACATTTGATCTTGTAACACTAAAACCTGACAGCGCACTGCTTCTGTGGCTGTATCTGAAGGTGAACTGCATACTGGCACAAGTTCAGAGCTTAAAATACAAGACCTGGAAGGACAATATACCAAAGAACTCAACCTAGTGAGAGAGTTTCCTGTCTGTTTTTTAGGTAATTTTATTTTCCCACCAGCAACACTTGAAAGAAAAGGAAAAAGAAAGAAGTATTTTTAGCCTCCACCCAAGTGAAGGCCAAGGAGCCTTCTGTAAGCCTTGGCCTGGGAGGCCTCCCAAGTTCAGCACTGTACAACTGGGTTTTCTCTGCTTTCTCTGAGTCATCCTTTGCATTCTCCAGACCCCACAGCATGAGGTCCTTTAAAGAGCTGCTTATCCACCTGTGCGTGACATCTCTTCTTTCTTGGCTTATTCTTGCAGATAGCAAGAAAAATTCAGGAAGAAAGACCAACCAGGACACATTTGTTTTGATGTTGTGTTATTCTGAGATAAGATCTTTTAGTTCCCAGAGTGAAGTAGATCTTAGGGTGTAGCAGATCGAGGTTGCACAGTCTCCTTTGTTCTCCAGAGGACTTTATGACTGTGTCCTTTGACTGTTTCCTTTGAAGTGAATTCATAGACTATTGGTCACACCCCTTCAAGGGAGGAAAAAAACCACCTTGATTTCCAAACCACATGTCAGTGATTGTAAGACCCTCTGCAGCACTGGAGCAAGTAGAGAACAGCTTCTTCTGAGTTGTGCCAAGTGACACATGAGGCATAAGAAACAGACAAGTTCCAGCTGCATGGTGAGCATTGTTCCAGGGGGTGCAATTTGCAGTCAAGCTGTATTCTAAGTTCTGAATCAGTACTTAATTTTGTGTCATTTCTGAACAGTGATACTACCTGTGCATTAGTCTTGGTTCTCATTAGGTTGCAAGTTCTTTGAGGGTTCAGGAGCTGCATTTCATTTTTAATTTTCTGCCAGGCACTGGAAGCCTATGC